ACGAATTGAAGAGATTTCTTGATTCTTAAAAGCCTAGATAGCTAGTCAGATCCTACCCTCCTGCTCTATTGAGTTTAGAGAGGATTGAGTATGAATTGGTGGCATGGTGGGTGGTTGAACTAACTAAGATCTAATTCATGGACGTGTTTTGGTTGGGGTGGCCAGCTCGCTTGGGTGGCCAGCTCGCTTGGGAATTACGTTAGTTATATAGGGACTCGGTGACTCGGGGAGCTAGGTAAAGAAGTAGAGGTAGAGAAATAAAGAAGTAGAAGGTATATTGTAGAGAAAGAAGGGGACACTCTGCGCCTGTAGGGACTATAGGAAACTATCTACACCGGGTAGATAGATTAAATTTCTTTATATTATTCCTTTTATCTTGTTTGCATTCACGCCGGCCGGTTTTATGGCCTTACTTTTCAGGTGGCAGGACCTCGAGAAATCGAGTCCTACTTATAGGGTGGATTTGCATACTGGGAATAAACCACTATTTGTCGTCGGGAGCGGGCTCTGGGACGCAACCCCCGCAAAGCAGCATGTATGTAATAGCGAGCTAAATCGGGTCAATGAATTCATCATCATCATCATGGTCGCCCATAGATATGGGTCTATATCTGAAGCACAGTTGCCTAAGGCATAAAAAACAATCAGGTAATTGTGCCAAGCGCTCAACCTTGGAATGCACCTACCAGGTAATTCTTCCCTGATGTCACTTGGCGAGCAAGTTAAGATACGGCTGGAAATAGAGTTGCTTGACAAAATGAGCTACAGTTATTTTCAGCGGACACAAAGCCCCGCGTTTTCCCATGGTTGAAATCAGAGAAATCGTCATAGACATCAACGTAGAAATCTCTTGACTATATATCTAATTGTTCAGGTGTCAGTCCTGCCGCCAAATTCACTTTTAATCAGTTAACACATTGATGATGCATTATGGACATTGAAATGGCCCAGAAATACATTCAAATCCAAATTCAAGATGATCTGAAGTATGATATTCGTATCGAGAATGCGGAACTTGAAAGGTACTTTACTTTCCTCTCTGTTTTGAAGAACGAAGGCGCGTTTTCTGAAGTATGCATAGTGGCAATTTCTACAGAGAAGATAATCGAAACGACATCTTAACGTCTGAAGATGTGGACGATATGGTTATTCGCCATAACGGCGGAATTCGAAGTATCTGCGCTATGAACGCGTCTGAAGGAAGTATTGATCTTGTTGACGATGTACGGGACGCGAAGATTTGCAATTTAACCTGGAGAGCCTCTACACAGCTCGACGAACGCAATGAAATGATGAAACTCCACCACGATCCTGGATACATCGTTGACATTGGGAGTTGGAATGAATCTGGCAATATGGGATGGATTCCTGTTACTGTTAAGGAACAAGACTGATCATTATTGGACTTGAGAGTTGGAATGAATCCGTGACTATGGGATGGACTCCTGTTTTTATTAAGGAACAAATTGAACGATTTGGCCTTTGTTTATTCTTTGCGCTCAGGAAGTGATATTGGCCACTTAAACTCAGCTAGGTAGCATTGCTAGTCAACTTGTCCGACCAGAAAGAACGATTATCTCGATTGAAATCAAATGTCATCACATTTCTCCTTTGCTTCTTTAATATTAATACCTTCTCTAGTGGCACTTAAGGAGGAGACGCCACTTTTAAGCATAGACAACATAGCTCCTAAAATTTATATCATAAAAGTAGTTAAGGTATTCCGGTAGACACCCTCCGTAGGTAAGGAAGGGTGCGGCTAGACGGGCACCTACTCACAAGGAAACGCGATTCTGTCCCACGATATCATGTAGAATCCTAGCGTTTTCGTCATCACTTCGACTTACACCATATCAGATGGTTGATGAATATTTACAACAACAATTGGCTACATGAATTCAATGATGGTTGTCACCATCAATAAATGCCTCATAGCTACCATCTCTCTAGGGCTCCCAAGATTCTAATTTTTATTTTAATTTCCTAATCTGAAAGTTTCGATGTAAGGGAGCCCCAAGTGGCAATCGTGTGGTACAAGCTAAATATACCGCAATTTTTAAAGGTCGGCTGGCTCTAATCTGTAGACCCCGTCCCGAAAATTCAGAGCCATGTGGCAAAAGCCGAGGATGAAATCTGGATCAGTGTCAAAAGTCTAGAAAATCTGTCCATTTTTTTGCCCATTAGGTGGCGGCTGGATAGGTCACCAATGCGTCATGATTTGATTTCCACTGGGCAAGGGTGCACCTTTACATCGGTAGACTAAGGGTCTGGACTTCTTAGTCTACCGATGTTATCTCCCAACACTGAAGTGCCCAGTGTTGTCACATATTCGTCACAGGCCTTAGCAGCGACTATAAGTATCCATCCCCATCTCAACTAATTTCATGAAATTTCAAAATCTCGCTTTACCACAAAACCAATTTTGCTCTATCTTTCTCAAAATGCCACTTGATAATTACGGTGTCTGGAAAGCTACCCCTGTATGCTACAAAGTTGAATACAAGGAGGATGACAGCAAAAGCCCGCATTTATCACTATACTTCAGTGATAAAGGTGGACTAAGCCACCATTCTGGAAAAAAGTTTCGTCGGGCCAGCCGAGACAACAAAGAAATCCCAGGGCTCTTCAGAGCAGCAATTAATATCAAGTCGGGTGACCAGAATGAATCGAGACTCACCTACTGGGTGAATCATGACTTCAAACACCCGATGGTCAACAGTCTCGCCGACCTATCTTCGGACTTTCATCCCCTCGAAGAAACGGAGCCGACACCTGCTGGTGTGAGACTCGACTTTATCCGGAGCAACTTATTCAACGTCAACACGGGTCGAATTTTACCCCATGACGAACCAGGCTTGAACAACGATATCATTGACGTTCTAGAACCTGAAGTCAAACAGGCGATTGATTCCGAGGCCGTTATTTACCTATTCGGAGAAGCGTTCAGTGATCGAAAGGGTATTCATAATGTGCATATGAACCAAGGCAATGTTAAGCGATTCAGAAATGATGATGGTGTGTTCCAAGATGGTGGACTTTTGATCAACTATCCAGACTCAGGTCGATGGGTTGGGGTGTTTCTCGGGTTCGCATCACAAGCTGCGCACACCGATGATGACACAGGGCATGCCATACCATCATCAGAGACTTGGGCCGACTATTTAGAGACAGCGAAGGGAGAAGTCGAGCTGACCGAGGACTCTGTGATCATTGATGAGGCTTTGATCAACCCCGAGCCAGGTGGGCTTCGAGCCAGGTCAGTCACTCTCAAAAATCCCAAAGACCGTAAGATGTCCTTGTCTTCCTGGAAAATTAAGAATTCAGCTGGGGAAATCCAAAAAATGCCGCGCAATGCAGCTTTGGATGCGAAGTCAACACAAGTTTTCAATATTCCGGATGTCCATCTCTCCAAAATTGGTGATACCATCACACTGTTGAATGAACGAGGATTAAAAGTTGACGGGGTAAGCTATCGCTCTCAACAGGGGGTTGGTAGACAACCGGTTGTTTTTGTTCATTAAAATGGGCATTGTAGTAATTGGTATGTTGTCTTTTTAGTTTTGTCAAAAGTCTTTGTGTTCTTAACGCAATCAATTTGTCTATCGCAGAGAAAGTAGTTGGGAGTTAATCACATTTTACTTGATTAAAATTCGCCTGCAAGCCTCAACAACACGCAGATCTAGTGCCGGCTTGCCTCTTATGATCTTTTAACATTCAATCAAACTTTAAAACGAAAATCTAGCTGGTCGTTTCAAGCGACTTCATGTCGTACTGCCATTTGTTAATAGGGGACTGCTAGTTGTTTGTACTTTACTCTTGCGTACTCCATATCTCCAAAATACCATCTTTTTTTTTCATTGAACTAGCAGGCATTAAAGCTCAGCCTCAAATTTTTCTCAGATTCTTCGCTCCACAAGTGAATGATCTTGATCACTAAAATATCAAATCAAAGTATTAGAAGTATGTAATCCCTTTGATGGGACTATGTTCGAGGACCTCCAAGTCAACATGAACACGTTGTCGAGCAACGACGGAACCACACCCCTATGTGCATCCTTCCAGGGAATGATAGCGGGGGAAAACATGTAGGCACAATACCACAGCGTCTACAGATTATGCAAAGCTGCCCAAGTTCTTCCCCGCTTATGTTTAGAAGGTGTTATTAGACGTCAATTTTAATGCAAGATGCAACCGCATCCGGCAATATGGAAGAAGTGGGTGATCAGCCGTGGATTTTTTTGATCAGGTTGTATTCAACGTGCCCTAGCCTTATTTTGAACCCATAAATCGTAGATGATAAAAGATATTAGATGCCAATATTTCCTAAGTTATTACTACACTGGAAGAACTGGTGGCTCCAGATGTTAGGCTGTGCCCATGTTTTCAAATCCATAATGAGTAAAGACGAGACAATGTGGCCAGTGAAAAGGTAAAAGTCACTGCTGATGATTTATCAATCTTCCGTACTGGCCAAGGAAGTTACTGTTCATCTATTGAAGAGACTCAAAGTGTCAGCTAAGTAGAATAACAGATTGAAATGTAAAAAGGGCATCAAATCCTTGTTACGAATATACATATGCACGCCAGAAGCACTGCTATTATTTCTATCACAAGAATATTGTCTTATCTACTAGGGCAGAGATTAAAAAACTAACAGAAGGTCAAAAAGGACACTAAACAATAATCAGTTTCAAATATCATAGTTGCCTTCAGCCACGGCTGAAGCACAGCTGTAGCATGTCCAAAAAGAGCGCTATTATTTCTCCCTTACCTCCTCGAGCTCCTGGCCACTGTTGCTATTGAGGCCGAGCTCGATCTTCTCATGTGCGGCAAGTTCGTTGGTATCCAAGCCCAAGCCGCGAAACTGCTGGACGATCTCTTCGAAATTGAGCTTGGGCATATCTTGGGCGACTCTCCACGCCATCTTGCCTTCAATGTGGGCTTTGGCGTAAATTCTGTCAACCTCTCCAAGCTGACGCCCGGCTGTCTCAACATAGAAGAAGACACCGAATATCAAGCCGATAAATTTGAACAGTGCGAAGAAGAGATCAACACTCCGTGGGCTATGATCAGCAACAAGCGGTGTGAACAAGACTAAGGCAAAGTTGCAGATCCAGTTGGCGCAGGTCGACGCAATGAGGGTCCGAGTACTGAGGGGGTTGATCTCCGGTGGGTAAATCCAGAGTAGTGGTAAGAGAGTGAATGCAAAGAAAGTGATGAAGGGGAAGACAACGGCAGCACCCTTGGCGTTATCCTCATTTTCCTAGATCAGGTTTTCCTAGATCAGGCAGGTGAATATAATGACAAAACTCAGCCCCTGCCCCTGGAAACCAATCAAGTATAGGTTACGACGACCAACTCTCTCAATCAGGAAAATAGACGGGATGGTTGCAAAGGTGTAGACAGTAGCAAACGCTCCAACCATTATAAGAGATAGGTACTTCTCCATATTCAGGTTTTCCTGGAAAATTAGCGTTGAGTAGTAGATAGCGGCATTACAGCCAGTAAACTGCTGGAAGAACTGGCCGGAGCAACCAATTAGGAGGCGCTGGAGTTCCTGTGTCTTGCTAAATGTGAACAAAACCTTCCAGTTTGGCTATGAGTTCTTCGAGGATTCCCCGTCCATCTTCAAGAAGTTGAATTAGTGAAGTGTCTGATCGGAATCAGATGCAGAGATGGGGAGAGGGAGGTGAGAACTAAGGGTTAGAATATGGGGGACTCCATCGTATTCATTATGTATGGATTTCTGGATTTTTCATGGGATCTGTGGGATTTATAGCACACGTTCTAATATCCAAAGAGAGTTATTCTAAGAGCTTAAATGGGTGATGTACCGATAAGGAGAACGAAGTTGTAGTTTGATGTTGTAGGTCGCCATAATATCTATTTTTGAGAATTTTCTATGGATTTATCCTATTGAGAGAGTTATATCAGTACGTGTTTCGGTCCACTTATCATGCTGGTACTCATGTTCTGTGACCACTACTCCGTAGTAGACAGTATTCTATGACCTAAATGTGATGATTGAGAGGCAACGTTCCCCAACTGCATATTTTGCCAGCAGTTTGCCCTCCTTTTTATCAGCTACTACGGAGCTCGAAGTACAAAGTAGGGCATGGATTGGATGGAAAATTTCCACATTTTTTCAGCTCCACGTCAGTTCAGCTCCACGTCAGTTCAGCTCCACACCAGTTCAGCTCCACGTCATTTCAGTCCCACATCCTTTCAGCTGCACATTCGTCCACGTAGTTCGAGCTAAGATCTAGATTTGACCACAAAGCAAGGTTACCCCACAAGCTGTAGCCCGTGCTGTAGTATGTCTTACCCAAATGGCAGATATCGGAGCGCAATATTCCTGATATTTAAGACGTGGAATCAGAGAAATGAGATCTGAACTGCTTGCAAAGTAAAGGGGTTCTGGATAATGGCCTGAATATACAGGCCTAGTTATTTCGGCCATCTCCACTGGACTTGTTAGCATATTGCATAATGTATGACTCATATTGTGAAGCGATATATAGAGTACGGAGCACTCCTAACTCCGCACCCCTTTTTAACGTTAGAATTTTGCTCTGGTGGATCCGCCAACCCTTCGCTACTCTTCAATAAATCAAGATTTTTTTGGTTGTATGCTAGTGAGCATTTATTCGAAATTTAAACTCGAGCCTAGTCGAATTTCATTAAGATCTTGCTAAATAATTTCAATATCCTGTTGTGCTCAGTTCAAAAAACGTTTCAATGCTAGCGCAAAATGATCGGCAGGATTTACAGTGACATGCATTGATGCCGGCTGCAGTATGTGATGCAAATACAATGATAGTATGTATGCAGGTAAAACAGTATTCAATTGGATGGACGGGGAGAGAGAGAAGGTGAGAGTGGAAGGAAGACTATCTAGTTGGTCTATCCTACATGTGATGCCTGAGGCATGCAACAGTATGACTAATCCGACGTTTTGGTCTGCAACAAGGCTTATGGTGGTGCATGATGTATCGATAAGCAAGTAAATCGACCTATCTGCAGGATCTTCTGAGTCTTCAGCTCCGCCACCAATTCCACTTTAATGATAGGTAAATTTCAGTCGGGTCGAAACACAAGGCCGAGGTAAGGACACTTCGACCCCACAGTAGAGTGTGCAAGTTGTAGTTCGCACTAGACTGGGAAATTTAAATCACTGTCTACGTCAGCCTGACTGTGTGTTACTAGCTGTAGGACCTTTGATTCGTGTATTGACAGGTCGTACTTCTATCTCGGGGAAAAATGGTATCACTATCACTACTCCGTAGTGTGGTTTCCACTCTATTAGAAGGTTGATCAATTCCCCATCCGTAGCGTCTATGAGAAAAGCAACTTGTAGTACCGTATGGGTCGTTGCTGGCTAAAGCCATTGGGCAGAGATGAGGGGAAGCGGTCAGCTCGAATATCTATCGATGAGAGGGGTAGAGCTGAGGTTGCCAGACATGAAAGGGAAGCGTGGTATAAGTATCTCGCTTTCCCCGATGAATTGATGGCCTCACAAGAGAAGAAAGACCCAAACAAACCGCAATCATGAATGAACCTCGCAAAGGATTAAATCCGCACAATGTCATCAGCTCCTACTTCATCGGACCAAAATCAGAAAATATGGGAAACTTCCGAGCCAACATTACAGCGATCCTAGATCAAATCGAGAAAACACGTTCTGATTACCAACCCAATGACGATGTGTGTTCGAACTTCCTCCCATAACAGCACTATGCACATCAACTGACACCAATAGGTCTTTATCAGCGAGGATGTTCGAACCTCCCCGGAATTTCAGAACATCACCCAAAACTTTCACAAAGCAGTCAAGAAAGCCGTGACACTCCTAGGAAAACACTCCATTCCATTCTGGCATCCCCGCTATGAGGGTCACATGTGCACGGATATGACCATGCCGGGGCTACTTGGGTACTTCATGACGATGATTTACAACCCCAACAACGTTACTGTGGAAGCTAGTCCATTCACGACAGTTATCGAGCTTCGGGCTGGAAAGCAGCTGTGCGAAATGTTCGGATACAATACCGATCCCGAGCAATCGAAACTGCCACTCTCCTGGGGTCATATCACCTGCGATGGAACTGTGGCTAATCTGGAATCGATCTGGGTTGGTAAAGATGCCAATTGATCTAAAAAATTCTAAAAACTGAAGTACTGATCAATGTGCAGCTCGCAATTTGAAGTTCTACCCTCTCACTCTCTACCAGGCGATGAAGGAAGGAAGCCTGGGTTTCATTGCCGATAGCTTCCACGTCACCACCTGCGTGGGAGAAGAGAAGCTTTTCAAGAACCTTGGGAACTGGGAACTGCTCAACCTTCAACCGGACGTTATATTGGGCTTGGGAGATGCTTTGAATGAGCAATATGGTATCACCTCCAAGTTCCTAGAGAATGCCTTGACGCCATTTAGCATTCAGACCACAGGGAAGGATGTCTTGGAGCGCGAATTCAAGATTAATAAGCCCTCCAAGTACTTCCTTGCCCAAACACGGCACTATTCGTGGCCCAAGGGCGGAGGTGATTATTTGCCCTTCTTCTCTTCATAGCGATCAATCACTGATACTACTTTAGCGATCGCCGGAATTGGTTCAGCAAATATGGAAGGCGTAGAGCTTGACATGGACGGACACATTTCGATCGAAGCGCTGGAGCGAGAGCTCAATCGATGCCTGAAAGAGCGCCAAGCTGTATATGCCGTAGTTGCCATCATCGGATCCACGGAAGAAGGTGAAGTGGATCCCTTGTATGACATTCTGGCATTGCGACGTCGATTCCAAGACAAGGGTCTGTCGTTCCTGGTGCATGCCGATGCAGCCTGGGGCGGATACTTTGCCAGCATGATTCCGCGAACCTTTATGGCCCCAGGAAGATACACAATGGATGGAGATGGAGGCGACGCCGTCAGCAATGTTCCATCTCTGAGTCTGAAATGCGATACCATCCAGCATATGATTGCGCTCAAAGAGGCAGACACGATCACTGTTGACCCACACAAGGCGGGTTATATTCCCTACCCGGCGGGAAGCCTATGCTATCGGGATGGTCGCATGCGATTTTTGGTCACCTGGACTAGTCCGTACCTTACTCAGGGATCACTTGAAAATATTGGTGTATATGGTGTTGAAGGAAGTAAGCCCGGTGCTGCCGCGATGGCCGCATGGCTCTCGAATCAGACTATAGGATTGAATCCCTGCGGATACGGAATGCTGCTGGGTGAAGCGGCCTTTACCAGTGCACGGGTATGATTACCCCCTCTCAGAATCATGAGACAATGTCTAACCCTCATAGCTATCGGCATACTACGCGGCCATGCACTTAAAGCAAGCCAAGGAGGACAACATACCCTACTATATTATCGTTCCCTTCAACAGACTCCCTTTCGAGAGGGAAGGTTTCGACATCTTGTCAGAGGAAGCAGACAAACGACGTGAATACATCTGGAACCACATCCTGGCAAAAGACAACAATGAGGTCAGCAACAACCCCTCAGCGATGAGTTGGCTCCGAGAAATCGGATCAGATCTGAACATCAACGCCTTCGCGCTAAATTGGTACGACGCCAAGGGCAACATCAACACTGACCTCGAGGAAGCGAACTACTTGATGAAACGAGTAGTTGACAAACTCTCAATCACCAAGAGCACTAAAGATCCTAGCAAGATACCGCTCTTCCTGACCTCCACGCAATTTGAGCCCGCGTTATACGGGAAATGTGCGCAGAACTTCATGAAGCGACTACAACTAGAGCCATGTGCACAGGACCTCTGGGTTCTGCGTAATGTGGTGATGAGCCCGTTCCCGACAGAACGAGGCTTCATTCACCAGTTGATGCATACACTGGAAGAAACCATCATCAGCGAAGTGATAACATGCCGAAAGCGGAATAGTCCCAATGAAGATAACATCGAATTCCTGCTCCGAGGAACAGATGAGGTGTTCCTGGACTTCCAGACGGGATTCCACCGCGCAACAAAACGTCAACAGATCATCTTGGCTGTGGAACTAGCCGAAGAAGTCAAAAATCAATACATCGCGCTGCGAGCGGAATTCCCCTGTGAAGACATCGGATTTGAGTCGAGCGATCCTGTTCATCTTGAAAAATTGATGGAAAAAATCACTCACAACTCCCATCAGATCATCGCCGGTAGGATCGGTATTGTCAAGGAAGGAGAATACTCGTCCTCGATACAATGCAAAGTAACGATGAAGAGCGTGGTGAAGAGTCGAGGATTGAACTCCAAATTCCGAGACGACCATTACCCCCGCAACTTCATGCCGTTTTATCTCTTCGGCTCGGAAAATCAACACCACATCTCGCACATGCTTCTCCAAGCGCCGAACATCAATCTTTCATCTAGTAACATTCAGCTAGATGAAAAGCTCCAAGGTGAAGTTGCGCTTCACCTAGGAAAGGGAGAAGGTCTCATCCTCACGTTGACTGATTACCGGGAGGAAACGATGCACCCCTTTCCGTTGAAGAACGATGATCCCACGATAACTAGAGAGGGCTTCTTCTTCCGAAAGGGTCAAACCTTCGAGGTCAAAGTGTTTGTTGATCCAAAGCCGAACATCGCTAATGGACCTGGGCTACTGGATGAATTGTCCACGCTGGTTGGACGTGGTAAAATGACACTCGGGGATGATGTGCATGTGGACGTGCAGGTGCTGAATGCTGATCCCTTTGAGGATGTGACGGTGCCTGATATTCCGTGGGAGTCGGAATTGGACGAGATCACCAACGTATTGAATAGTGGGCAGTAGGTCGGCATCTTTGTTGGGATGCAATTGACATTCAATAGCATAGGAGGGAAATTGAGATCGTTCCCGCGTGGCAAATGAGATGCAGGGGCACCCAAAAAGGTCTTTGTCTTCTACCTTGTATTCACCGTTGATGTGAGGATTTCAACGTAAATATCACTGGATTGCAAAAAGGTTGAGTATGGGGCTGAAAAGACTGGCTGAGAGCCTCTTCCCCACCTAAAGGTATGTGGGCAAGTCCTTGCATTTTATGCCTTTTAAACACGTCTCGTACAAAAGTTCCTTTCAAGCTACTCGTGAGGATCAACTCCACTCTATCTCGAGCACTCGGGCTAGACTGCAGAGCTCGAATTGACTGTCATGATCTTCCTTACAACTCAACTCCGGCAAGTTACCAAGGTCTACGAGACAGTCAGCATGAGGATGAATCACGGCACACTCTACTGTGCCACAGAATTTGGGTGTGCCTTATAAAAGTGTGTACCTAACCGAAGTTGGCTGTAATCGAATATTGATAAACGATGTTGCGCTACTTGTAGTAGTACAAGGGCATGATCGACTCGACTCTCTAGCTCATTCGTGTGTGATGTGAAAAATTTCTGCAACAGCATTACTATGTTTTTTGTCTCAACCTTTTGCAACGCAACTCTGCAAGAATGCCTTTTCGTGTGCTAGTACCGATTTTCCATATCTACTCCCAACGGCGCGTCCAGTTGCTGAGATCTTGGTCAAATTAGATTCACATGCGCAAGCCCTATTTAACACCTGCTATTCATGCTGGCACTGGGCCGATCGACCATCATTACCTCAGGAAAATTGTAGTTGTCTTCCTTCGAGATCTGCATGAGGCGGAGGCCTTATGCTCATCACACAGAGTCTCGGCTCGTGCACAGGGAGGCTCCATTGTGTTATGCCACAATTTACAGAACCAGACCAGCAAAGCGAGAGTGGTCAATATGAGGAGATTTTGGAACGGTAGTATTGAAAGCACCGAGGCATACAGAGTTACCACGTAGCCTTCTAGGAGAGTTGAGAATTTGTGGTAATCGTAAATTGGCGTTGAAAGATGATCCGACGTGTCATAGAAATTCCTCTTGAAGAAAAGTGTCACATATAGCCTGCTCGTGTTTAGTAAACTATCTTACGAGTTTCAATTGAAGCTAGGAGAGGGTTGACATACATGTCGTCTGGCCACGAAGTCCTTGTATATCCCTAGCCAGATTTCCCGGAGACGACAGCCATCTTGTTGACTCGCCGCAGAATTGATTTCACAAAGAGGCTGCGTTTTTTCGATCACATCCTGAGTAGCCGCAACCCATGGCTACCGGAAGAGGTCAGCTCGCCTGAAACGAAAAGCGTTGAAGGTTACCGAGAATTAGCAAGACATACCTTGGGAACTGGCCAATCGGAAAAATGTAAATATTTGGCATCTTTGAGAATTTTCTCAGCATCCCACAACTCGTCAGTATTACCCAGATAGGCTTCATGATTCTTGGATCGGAACTCCCCAGTCAAAAGGGTATAAGGACGGTGCGGTATGACAAGTGCACTATCTCCATATAAGTTGTTCATAATCTCCATGTCGTAATTGTCAGTAGCAGTGTTGGAGATTTCATCCATTACGCGACCGAACTCAGTTATAGACGGTTGGATGAGGATTAGTGCAGATGTAAAGAATCGATCCTTGGGATCTAGCCAGTAGGCCCGTGGCATGGCGACCGAATTAGGTGGGAGCAGGAACAGCTCGTCCATGGCCTTCATGCACGTTAGTTGCAATGGAAAAAAAAGCCACGATCGATATCGCACCTGCAGAAGAGTTGCATCTGAATCTAAGTTAAGGACCCGGTCATATTCTGTTTGATTAAACGCGAGGAGTTTTGTGTAGCTTGATGACCATGTTGCTGCGCTCACGCTTAGTTTGGAGTTTTGTAATGAATTAAGATGACTTACCACCTCCCCCATCCTTCATCATCACTTCGATTGGCTTGAGTTTGACTGCGTATTTGTCCCTTGCGAAGCGAAGTAAGCGAGCTTCAGGTGAAACATCGTTCTCAGACAAGAGGAAATTGTGTGGGTACATCAACAAGCGATCGGCTTTACTTCCAAGACGTTGAAGAGCCTCAAAAATCATGAGCGAGTTGCACAGATAAGATCTGTCGGTAGCATATTGGGTGTATGCAAATCGAGACCAGTTAAATTGCTTCCCGGACAGGCCGTCGAAGTAAGAATTAAAGTCGCCCAGAGGAGTCAGATTGCCTGGAAGTCGCAATAATGTCGCAAACCCAAATAGAGCGGACAAAACTATGAAAATGGAGCGAAAGACTCTCGGAGATGTTATGGCCATACTTAAAATGGTCGCTTGCGATACTTGACAGCTTGCCATCTGGAGGGAATATTCCTAAGTTCCACGCATCTGTCGGAGGAAAACTCTGTAATGTCAGCTCAGGTCAAATTGTGTGCAGGAGGGTTATAGGATATTAAAGTATTAAAGTACAGTTGATGAAATGGGGGCCCTTCCTGACAGAGAATGACCCCTTCAGTTGGCTATCCATTTTCCCAGGGCCAACGTCAGAAGATTTCAGTGGTCACAAATGGGCGGTTAAGTGCATGATCTGAGACACGCCATAAATTTACAGCAGTTACGGATTGGCAACAGAACGCCTCATCTGTGGAGCGAATTGGTCCGTGCCCAAATCTATCACCACAGCTGAGCGCGGATATGAATCGGATATGGCAACTATTAGAAACATCTGTAATTAGATATCTGCATGGGCTAGGACTGCCATTCAAATACGCCTCTTGGTTAATCATGAACTATCATTTGTTGTTGTAGGAGCAGCAGAGATTTTGACAATTTGAATTTTGTGCGAGCATAGCATTGAATCATACGGTGGTATTGGCACCTGCTACTGATTTCATGTATACTAATTTAAGATGGGGATGATGTATCCGGCTTAACTAGCCCTTACATTTGGGGTGAGTCGACCCCCTGTTCGCTATGCACGTTAGTGCGATCCTGCACAATTTCCATAATGAGGACTCATGTGGCTAAAAACAGCAACTGATGTACCAGGGGCGCTTAGCCACTCGAATATTGAGCATTTTTTTAACCTTTAATTACTTGGTGGCGATGTGTGTTGTAGCTGCTGTCGGTACGGTGCTCAGATATTCATCGGTTCATGTTGATCTATCTGGAAAAATCTCCAAGTCGGAACTCTGTCAATTGTTTCAAGACGTTCTATGATTTGACAGCAACAAGTCAATGAATAGATATCTAGCCTCTGGTTGATACTTGAAGCTCAGCCTTGGAGCCTGTTTTCATCGGGCTTCAATCATCGACAAGCAACTTCGTCCCCTCGGTTGTGTGTCAAGTTAGTCCCTTCATGTTGAATATCACTACTATCTAACATAATAGGGAGCGATTTCTTTACAATCATTTCACCCTTTGGATTGAGAGGTCGACAAAAATATGTTCTCACACTGTGGGTCTTTTTTGCATCGATACTGTCCTCTGTCATGGCCGCCGAGAGATGACCGAGTCTGATTAAAGGTTTGGACTCGATGGCCCTTGGCAAGCTGCCACTGTGTCCATGGAAGTAAATCCTCAGAACTTGGCGTGCCTTCATCGGTAGTGGCGTTGTACCCGGGAGGTAGTTGGGAAAGAAAAATCGTACTCCCACCTGATTTGTACTGATGAGAATTGCTTCGATATACGTGTCGCTTACCGAGTTTTTAATTCTTACCTATGTGCCATAATGATTATTAATTCAATATGACAGAAACCTATGGTTTCAACAATGTTTAGGACGATCAGTAGATAGGTATACATACTCCAACTTTTTTAAAATCCGCTCTTTCTCCAATCTGTACGAGCACAGAGAACTAAACATAGATACAAATTCTATAGACCGCGCCATAATGACTGTCCGTGGATTTTTCCGGGTATTCCACCCTGGTTTTTAAGAATGTTGTACTGTTAGTTTCGATATATTACCTCGCTTAAAATGGCCTCGAAATAGCCAGCTTCCGAAGCCCAGTACGCCCAGATGGTTCTAGACATTGGCATAGCCCATAACAATCAATAAAGAGAGCCTGTATAAGCCAAAATATCTCTACGTAGCTCAAAACGACACAATGAACTACTGTTTAAAAACCTATGTTCTAACCCCCCAATTGCTTGTTCTAAGACACGGCTACAGACTTCCATTGAGATTTAAACTGTCGTTCACCATTGTGCTAGGACCTAGTAAAAATCTAAATACCTTCTAAAAAGATGGTGTATTTCATCTAAAAAATGGGAAGGATCTATGGATGTCCCACAGAAACAGAATACTCCACATGCTTCCGAATGATCATCTTCATACTTCCATCACTCCCACTTCGCATACTGTCCCTATCCTCTTCGGACATCTCCTCTGCTAAGTGCGGCGGCTCTGGAGCCTCACAAACAACTGTCCCATTTCCCGTTCCCTCGCCCACGTATAGCCTCTCCTTGATAATGCCGCTCGCCCGGCGCCCAGGTCGTCCTTTCACAGACCCTATCTCAGAATCCCGCGACCGCCCCGATGTGTAGAGGTCTGCATTCCCCCGTCTCCTGGAGCCATACCTGTAGCCGTAGTCACCGTTGCTACTACCGAGGAGGCTGGAGTCCCCGGCTGTGCCATAGTGGGTTGTGAGTGCATTCATGAATGGGCGCAGGCAGAAGGCCGTGCATGCTATCAGAGCGTAGTTGAGGTGGACCTGAGTGAAGATCATGTGGCGGATTGCGGTGAAAGTAGGGTTTTTGATGGTTGTATATTCTTTCAGGGCGAAGAGGTGAAGGGCGGAGAGCACAATTAGTCTAGTCGTTAGAGGTGAGTCAGTCTCAATTAATGGGAGATTTGGATGGAATTTTCGCAAATGGAAGAACGTACGGTAGTCTCGCCGCAAAGGATACCATGATCACGCTTTTATGTGACATGTGCATCTGCAGACCCCAAATAAGCGCGATGCAAAAGGTGAATAATAAGATTTCGGTCGAAATATCGAAGGCGGCGATTGCTTGCCAGCGGGAAAACTTGTTGCTGTCAGTATATCCTATTCAACATCCGTATATTTGGTTCGTGGTAGTTTGTAGAGTGCGGTTGGCTCTTGTGCAATGGTAAACATACCAGTCTATGGCATTGTTCACCAGGTACAACCCAAGGTTTATTTCCCTCGCAGTTGAATGCAATAGCCATTACAGAGAAAATAACCCAGAATGTGCTAAGCCCAAAGGTCGCCCAGAGGATGCCCTTGTGGCGCTTCCGGGGCGTCAAGCGTAAGTAGATTGCAACGATGCAGCATTTCGAGAGGTATAGAGTGAAGAGGTACAAGATATTGGCCGCGAGAAGGGACTAAGTTGTCAGTGATCTACCTCAGATTCAATCGCATTGGTCATTGGGCAATGAATACATTTTGCACGCCATCCACGGCGTTTTTGGTGAGTAACGACATGTCCGTCCCAAACCCAATGCTCGCGGCTTGAAAGATGATAATCGACTCGGCGATAGCAGAGGTCTATCAAGTTAGCCTCATCTACAGAAAAAATCAAAGTCCCTCAGATGCGTACCGTCGCACCCAACAGGATGATGTCATCTGATCCCCATGGTGGATTGAGGAATATCCGCACGCAAACCCGTATGAGTAGACAGACAAGCGAGATTATCAGACAGGTAGCGGTGGTGATGATAATGATACCGGCATGGTGCTTGTCGTCTATCGTCTCGAAAGGCGACGACTGGCCAAGGGGCATTTTGATGGCCATTGCCGCATAGAGACAAAATCGTGGTCTGTGGGCTGGAAACATCAGGGAGGGAATTATCTAAAAGGAAATAAAAAAAGCACAACAATCAATGAAAATGACGCCGATTCCGCGGATCGTGGCCAGGAAGCTCCTGCAATTCAAGTGGAGGAATCTAGCAAGGATGGCATTTTTAGGACTAGTAGCTCGGGTAGACTCGAAACAATTAAGCTCAGACAAATTCTAAATTCCAGCATTTTTAGATAGGAACTAGGATGCTCGATTTCCCCTTGTCTTAAAATTAATAGGACCCTATTGATAGAGAACACATCGCTCTATGTTGCACGGAGTAGAGGTGATGCAAAGCAGATTCAACGGTGCTTCTTCCAGATCGAGTGTGATCGAGCAAGTCCAGGTTCTCGAGTCTCCCGAACTGAAGTCCCATTCAACACAACACAATTGATTTAGATTTTTTGGGCGATCCTGGTAGCCATGTATGGAGCCGTGTGGAGGCTGAAGGCTATCCGCTTAAAGTATCTCCACCAACCTGCCCCTCCGCCCCTTTGTATTTGAAAAATTCAAAGATTTTTCTTATCAAAAAGGGGCCTCGATCGGGATCTTGTATGCAACCAGGGGCATGATCAGGCAAACCGGATGAACTTGGGAATTTTCTACTCCGTACGGAGTACATCCATGGCCTGATAGAGTTGGCTGTGTGGGGCTGCGTGGGGGCGGAAGCCTTGGAACACTTCCGCTCAAAGTGTCCTGTCGCACAACCTTAATATCTAATAAATTAGCTTATCAGTGCGACTTTGTGAGGTTGTTAGCACTTTCATTAAATTTTTCCTCTGAACATTTCCAGTCGAAGAAAATCTCAATGAACGTCTGACGTTACAAAGGTTCACCGACCGGCCAGGATGCAGTGTTGACCGACCTCCTTATCGGCTGTTCTTACCAAGCGTTCCACTATGCTCTCAACTTGAGGATATAATGAATACTCTGCACTGTTAGATGTTAAGTATGTGATTCGTTGTGGCTACAAGTATACCTTATTAATTTCTCCTTTCAGTAACTTAACAACCATGCAAGCGTACGGTCGACAATAGGGATCACCGTCATATAACACTCCCATTGGTTTCATTGCAGGCAGTAATTTAGATCCACTCTCACTGAACTAAAACTAACCTTCGGCTTAAAGAGTATTTATGATTTGCCGACGAGAAAGGTTAACTTGAAGATAAGCGTCTTTAGTCGTTGATAGAGAGTATGATTTATTCTATCAGGTGGTAATTTTAGATGCTAAATCCCCTTTATTGTTATATAGGGTAGAGAACCCGGAAAAAATACTTAGACCGCTATAGATAGCGTAGTCTATGAAAATTTTGCATTACATTTAGTCAGCTTGGTCCGTATAGATTTTAGAAGAAGCTGCTTTCATTATCTTGGTCAGAGTGTAAAGGTATACTGTTTGCAGGCGTAAGACCTGTCAACCAGGTAAGATCTAATGGGGAGAAGAGGAACTGTATCTTCTCTAATGTATCAAGACTAATTCTTATTAGAATTTATAGGAATCCCGGGGGATCCTAGACTATAGGGAAAACCGTCCTCGGGTGCTATCTAGACTGCGGCATATCCGCTCCAATGGATATCAGATCGATCCTTAT